AAGTTAATGCAAAATGAATCACAGACCTAAACATAAAATATCTAGAAGACTTCTGTGACCCTGGGATTAGGCAAATAGTTCTTAAACATCACAACAAAATCATGATCCATTAAAAACAAACAGTAAATTGAACATCAAAATTTAAAACTTTTACTCTTCAAAAGACAACTTTTAGAAAGTGACAAGTCAGCCAGTTACTAAAAGAAAGTATTTCTAGAGGAGCAGCATGTGCTCTCTCCTCTCCATGCCAGGACGTGTGCTCGTCCACTGATATCAGCACACTCCGAAGAGAGGGAATCATCTGGCAAAAATGGCACCTTGCCCACTGTGTTTAAGGCTCCCCTTTGACCAGATATTTCAACTTCCTTCACACCGACCTGAACGAAAACAACAGCTGTCAGTGAATTGGCAGGACATCAGACCAGAGCTGAGTCCTGGGGTGCTAGCAGAGCTGTGGCTCGAATTCCCAGAGTTTAAGGTGGTGGGACCCAGCATCCTGGCCAGGGTGCTTGTGGAAACGTGTGTTGTGGGGGCCACATGTTTGCACCAACCAAAATCCGGCACTGTTGGCACCACAGATGAACACAGAAGTGATTCACCATCTGCTCTGCCCTGGCTGCCCTGGTCTTACCAGCAGTGGTCATGCTAAAGGTCATCATATTGAGGAAGTTTACTAAACTTCCTTTGGTGGATGAAGATAAAGTTGAAAGCTACAAGAAAACCAAGGAGGCCGCCTTGCTTCTTAAGAAACTTAAGGTCTGGAATGATATCACAAAGATCTATGACTCTCAGCAAATGACAGCTGGCAAGGGCAAAAGGAAGCCAGCGGCGGGGACCCTGCATCACCTATAATGAGGGCAAAGGTATCACTGAAGCCTTCAGAAACATCCCTGGAACTATGTTGGGCAATGGAAGCAAACTGAACACTCTGAAACTTGCTCCCGGAGGGCATGCAGGCCATTTCTGCATTTGGACTGAAAGTGCTTCCACACAATGATCTGGGTGGCACTTGGCATACAGCAGCCTCCCTCCAGAGTGACCACAACCTTCCCCTGCACAAGACGCTCAGGACACACCTCAGCAGAATCTTGAAAAGCCCAGAGATCCAAAGAGCCCTCCGAGCACCACACAAGAAGATTCATCACTGAGTCCTAAAGAAGAATCCCCTGCAAAACCGGAGAATCGTGTTGAAGTTAAACCCACATGCAAAGACCCACATGCCAGAACCAGACCAGGAACCACAAGCTCCAGTGGACAGAGTAGCAGCAGCTACTAGAAGCCAAATCCGATGAGAAGGGGATTCCAGGCAAGAAGCCTGTGGTAGGGAAGAAAGGAAAGAAGGTTGCCAGTGTTCAGGAGCAGAATAAACCTTCGGTGGGAGAAAAGGCTACAGCTACCAAGAAACCAGCAGCTGACAAGAAGCCTGCAGAAAAGAAACCCACAATGGAAGAAAAGAAGCCCACAGCATAAATTTAAATTTGTTTATTCCATGAAGGTCAAATCATTATAGACAGCCAGTTTTGAATAAACATGTCAAAAAAGCAGTGAAAAAAATTTTTCTAAGTCATCTCTCTAAAAAGGACTTGTATGAAGAATATATAAGGAAATCTTGCAACTCAAAAGTAAAAGAAACAACCCAATTAAAAACAGGCAAAAACTGTAAATAGCTACTTAACCAAATAAGTTACACACATTAATAATAAATACGTGAGAAGATGTTCAACTTAATTAGTAATGAGGAAAACGCAGACTAACCCACAGTGAGATACCATTACATGCACATTAAAATGGCCATAATCCAAAGGACCAAAAATACCCGGGGTTCATAAGAATATGGAAACAGAAGGACCCTTCATACCCTGCTGTGGGGAATACAGAGTGATACGCACTTCAGTAAACAGTCAGGCACTTTCCCAAAGATTAACCATATGCTTACCATATGATGCAGCAATTTCACCTCTAGGTATCTCCCCAAGAAAAATTAGGATATATGTCCACACATAAACTTGTGCATGAATGTTTACAGCAGCATTCATAACAGCCCAAAACTGGAAATAATCTAACTTCATCCATAATGTAGTGAATGGATTTTAAAAATCTGGTCTATCCAGCCAATTGATTATTATTCATCACTAAAAAGGAACAATGTTAGCTAATATCGGTGAACCTCCAAAACATTACAACATACACAAAAGGCCACATATTGTATGATTCCATTTGCACAAAATGTTCAAAAAAGGGAAATCTATAGAGACAGATAAAAATCATCTACAAAAAGTGGACACCCCAAATCAATGTCATTGTACCAGTGTCGACTTCCTGGCTTTTACTTTGTCCTGTAGTTATGCATGATGTCACCACTAGGGGACAATGGGTGAAGGGACAGGAGACTTCCCGGGACTTTGTGCAACTTCCTGTGAATCTGTAATTATTTCAAAATATTTTTTACCAAAAAACAAACTGGCCTGGTGCCCTGGCCAGGGTTGGTCGAGCATCATCCCACACACAATCAGGGCACATACAGGAATTGACCAGTGAATGCATCAGTAAGTTGAGCAACAAATCGATGTTTCTCTTTTTCTCTTTAAAATTAATAACATAAAATTTTTTTAAAAGCTGGGTTGGGGTGATAGTTATACAACTGCATAAATTTATTAAAAATTATCAAACCATACTTGTACAACAGATGACTTCTGTGGTGTATAAAATATATTTAAATAACACTGTTTTAAACTAAACAATAACTGAACCCTGATATATTTTCCTATGTAAAGTGAACACTCAATACATAACAGGGCATCGAAAACACTTTCAAGATTCCTTCAAAAATCTGTAGTTCATTTCTGATTTTTAACTCAACTACACTGTCAATTAATTTTTCTTCTAAAAGTTTTCTGAAATAACATACAAAGTTTGTAACAACTTTCCGTTTATCACCATAAAAGTAGTAAACGCTTTCCTACCAAATTAAAAGTGTAGGTAACAAAAACCTGGCAGTCCATCCTTGTTAGGTTACTGACTAAGGGCACGTGCTGCAGGAGAGCCGCACTCAGAGCGATGGAACCACAGGCCAGCCGCCGCCGACAGGCCTGCTCCCGGAGAGCACACGGAACTGTGCGCTGTCTGTGATCACTTCACACGCGGTAAAGCGCCGGGCACTAAAGAAGGTCTGCCAGCAGGGGCTCTACGGAAAGCCTCCTCTAACCTTACGGTGGCAGCACAGTCCTTCCAAAAGCCATCCAGACAGCCTCTGATGGTTTCACCTGCACAGTGAAAGCTGGGCTCTTTCTTCTCCAGTGTTCACAGGCTGCTTTGCCAGGTCTTTCCTGGCCAGCCCCTTACATCGCATCAAGGCCCAGCTGGCCTCCTCCACTGATCAGACTCAACCATCCCTGAGGTCAGGAGCGAAGTGCCCCTTGTTCCAGTCATCATTCTCCAGAGCAGTTGGGAGCTGCTGCTTTATGAATCTGAGTCCATACTCTGTGATCTGACCTTTTTTTACAACTGAATTCAGTAGCTCCCTCCTTTCCCTAACGACTGTCACCCACCATGCAGTCCTTACCAGCAATACGCTGATTAGGGATACAGCCCCCGGTTTCCTTCCTCGTTCTTCAACTCTAAGATAAGCTTCCAGAGTCTGGCACGTGCCCTGTGCAGACCTGGACACAGACCACAGACAAGGCAGCCACTTCTCCAAGCAAGAAGAGACGTGGCCTTGTTACACAAACTGGAACTGTATCAGCAGGACCACTGAACAGCAAACGTAACTGGAAACAGTTGAACCTAAAACATTCGCATTTAACTACGGTCAAGTCTGGGGCGATAATCATGGCCATTTCATCCTCTATACTGGCACCACAGCAGAATGGCTTGTTTTTAAGCATTATATCTAACACACCAGCAAACATGCATTTCTCCTATGCTTTCAATTTTAAAAAAAACAAACAGGAAATCTAAGGTTTTTTTCAATTTAAGCTTCAACCTTAACAAGGATGTCTCAGCGATTGGACAAAGAATGAACCAATGGACCGCATTAACACTGATCAAGTCCTGTCCTGCCCTGTGGTCACCTTCTTTCAGACTATGACACTTTTAGGCCCAAAGTCCCCACACTGCAATTTCAGTTTATCATAATTTAAGCAGAATATGGCAAAGCTAAAGCTTCACCTTTCAATATGTGGCGTTCCACCTAACGCAGTTTTGAGACTAAAACTCTTGCCCTAACCTTTTCTACTTGCTCAGTACTAAAGTCTACACAAAATCCCTGTTTTGCAAATCCTCTCTGAGGCACATTTGGAATCCCTCGCAAAAGGCGGCAGTAGGGAACAGGCTCGGTGCAGCGGTAGGGGCATTCCTTAAATTAGCAGTACCTGCTGCCCCAGCTGCGCTGAAGAAGTGAGATGCACGGACAGCTGCTGACCCCCTGCCAACATGCAGTGGATAAGACACACTCGCTGGTTATTACTAGTCCAATTATTGTTTTACTACTCCAAAATAAAAATACATTCAAGCTCCAAATTCCATAACTGGCAGAATAGTTCGTTTTACAGAAGAAATAATTTCTTCCTCATAAAAAGTAAAATGTGTAATTTAAAAGAAATACTAGTCTCCCCTAATATAACAATTGGTTACTCTAAAAATATCTGTAGCTGATCTCCTGAATTACAAATATTTCTGGTTTAACATATCTACCTCTGAATATAAATTGTGCACGCAATATTTTTTCAAGACTTTCCATTATAAATTCTGTTTTGGAATGGTCCTTTAAACATAAAAATTAACAGCAACTGACTATTAAAAGGCACCAAGTAAATAATGTCCACATTATAATGGTTATAAAATCCAAGTGTTCAACTATTTTCCGACCTACTCGGAACACCGACCTTTAAAAATACAACCCCCGGGGCTTACAGGCAGAAAGACTGCCGCGGACCCCGCTCGGCGGCCATGGCCACGGCCACGACACCGGCGGCTTTAGGCAGCGTCTGTGAGCACCGTACCTTCTTCTCCCGCAGGCTGTCGGCTTGCGCAGTCTCTAGGCGGGCTTTAAAGTGCTCACAATCCATTCTCAGTTGCTCTAATTCTTGCTCCTTCCTTTCCATGTCTAGAAGAAAGAGACAGAAATACCTTCTATTTCAAATCACTAATATCTTTTAACCATTCATTATGCCTGATCTCTTTAGAAAACTTACACTGATTTCTTAGGTTACATGTGCATAACCAGTCCTTGAATAGTAAATATTCTAAAAGTCCTGCTTTTTAAGCTGTTATCAGTTTTTAGCCCATAGTAAGAAAACACTTTTTTGTTTTTTGCTTTGTGTTTTTAGGACCTCACTTTACTGCCAAACTTATATAGTCAGGCTTTAAGAAAAGTGTGCATTTGAAGGACTGGAGGCAGGGCTGAGAAGCCTGACTGTCTCCTGGCACAAACTTGTATCTGTTCCAGGAAAAGCAGAAGGCGGCTCAGCGAGGAGACGGTGCCAGCCGGAGCTGATTCACGGAGCTGGTCTCTCCGGCGGGCAGGCTGACTCAATGGGACAGCTGCAGCCGCAGTCAATGGAAGACAGCATGGTGACAGGGACCAAAGAAGGCTGCAGTAGAAGGTGGCGACTATGGAGCACTTCCTCCACACCAAGTTCATTTAAACGATTTGAACGACCAATAGAAATTCCGAAAGACATGCACGTTAATAAAGCTGAAAACAAAAGCATCATCACTTCAGATACAAAGTAGTATGCAGCAAAAATACCAGCATTCAAAAAGCAGAGAGACACATACAGTAAGTGCCCTGACTTCAAGGGCTGAGAAATCATCAGTTTTTATGCTGACATGTACCAAGATTGGGACAGCACATGTGCTCAGAGATGATGGTGTCACTATTCTGAATAAAGTGGACAGTTGAGGACAGTGATTCTCAGACTTTAGATGACTTGAGTAGACGCAGGCTGGGCCCAGATAGATTCAATAGGATTAAGGTAAGCCTGAGACTCTGCATTTCTTACAAGGTAGCCAGTGGGCTGATACTGCTGGTCTGGGAACAGACTTTGAGGACAACTCAACTGCTTTGGGACAACAGCCTGGTTTCTCATCACTAACTAAATGACATCAGCACACAACTAGTGACAGCAATTGAGGGAAGCCAAGCGTAGGAATGCTAAAGGGCAAAGAAACAGAGGATGGTGAGAGAGCCTCAGAGAACAGACCCTTCAAAAACGGAGCATTACTTCACCATAGAGAAATGCAGCCAACAGACACTTCCTCCGGTGACGTGCAGACAAAGGAGAAGGGGCGTGACTTTGGAACCCGGGGGTCTCAGGAGGGAGGGAAAGCGGAAGCCCACACAAGAAGCCTAGAGGGCCTGCCAAGAACAACATGGGCATCCCCAAAGCTCTGGAGAATAAAGGGAGTGTATATTTCCCAAAGAACCTTTGTCCTGGAAGAAAAATGAAAACCTAAAGCTAAACATTCAGATAGAGATTATGAAACTGGCAAAGCTTCTTTTAAAAGGTGTTTCTTAGAAACTGGGGTGAAGTAACATGAGACCACTTCTCCTTTAAATCACTTTTCTTCTGCCCTGTTATGATGTCTTATTCCACAATGTGACTGACTTTCACTAGAATTCCTTCTTGTCCCATTAATCTTGGACACACAAGAAATCAACTACCAATCAAGTGCTACGCTTGGAAAACTATGTTTGCCTTAGTAACAATGCTAAATGAAGACATATATTTATATACGTTACCCATTATTATATATGAAATACAAACTGGTCACAGACAAACAAAATGGAGAAAGGAACTAAGACAAAATTATTGATGATGTAAATTCTTTAGAGTTAGCTTTTAAATATTTCTTCTATTATTAAACTGCATGTTACTTAAACATGGTAAAACTGGAAATCGGTTCTACAAGCCTTGTTATACATAAAAATCGGTAAGAATTCTGACTCATTGTGGTAATTCCATAGCCTCTCACTCTACATAGCTGTCCACCTGCACGTTAACAGAAGGATGGGGTTAAAATACTCCATTCAAGCACAGGCCAGCCCATCGCACTGTCACCACCAGGGACTAGGGATGCGACCCCCAACCCTGGGCTCTCCAGGAGGAAGCAGGTGCCTTTCCTCAGTGCGAGGCCGCCGCCTTGTGGCCAAATGGGAGCATTGCCGCTGCCGTGGCCTCCTGACAAAACTGCCCCCTTGCATTTTCTTTTTTAATTTTATTTACTTATCAGTTTTTATTTAAAACAATAAATTTATTGTCTCCCAGTTCTGGAGGCTACAAGTCTGAGATCGAAGTGTCAGCACAGTTGGTTCCTATGAAGAACTGTGAAGACCTCTATCCTCGGTTTGTCTTCTCTTTGGTCTCTTCACACCGTCTTCTATACACACTTGGGTCCAAAATTCCCTTTTGTAAGAACACACGTCATATGTTGGATTAGAGGTCATCCTAGTTACCTCACTTTAACTTGATTACCTCTGTAAAGGCTCGTTCCCAAATAAAGTCACATTCTGCGATACGGGAGGTTAGGACTTCGCTATGTACATTTGGACAACCGTGCACTTTCAACGTGGCCATGCCTGCCACACAGAACACCAGGAGGCATGTAATGGGCACTGCATAAATATGTGCCACAAAAATAAATTTCACTTCTTTAAACATTCTTTTGGCTAATTCTTCAATAAAACCACAAGTACTTTATGTTTTATTCTTCTGTAATGAGATTAATTTGCAATTTTTAAAAAAAATCAGAGACAGAAATAATCCGAACAGTGAATGAAATACTATATACAGTCAAGGCATTGTCTTGCCCAGCCTCACTAATTAGAACAGGGAAGGGGCAGCCACTCAGCCTGCACTGTATTTCAACAGCTAATCTACAGCTTTTGAAATGAAGGAGAAAACTCCACTTAACTGTTAACTGAATGAAGGGTGGCTGAGACAGAACACAAACACATAAAAACAAACTAAACAACAGGCCCTTTCACTATCTATTTATCCTCTGAATTTTATAATCCTTTTCGACAGTTTTAATAACATGAGAATGATGTATCTCTTAATGCTCAACTGATTCACAGGGAAGGTACAGAGAACTATTCACAGGCAGGACAGAGAGCTACAGATGAAAACACTGACAAAAGAAATTTAAACTATACGAAAGGGATCAAGTCCCCTAGCCTTTATCACTTGGCATGTCTATAATAAATTACTAGTTGTTTCATATTAATATGAAAATATTTGTTTCTGATCAAAATAACTAAGAGTCTCAAATCCAAAGTAAAGTCTTTTTAAAAGCCATTAACTTTTGCCTTATCACTCTCTAATAGGTCTAGAAAAGAACTCAGAATTAACTCCTGATGGATTCCACTCTGAGCTGAGACCTGGAAGGTGTATTCATTTCCTGGTACAGACATCCCCAGCTATCCAAAAGTAGAGTGTTCCTATGAAACCTTCATGAGCCAAATGACATAAAGTGAAGAAGCAATTATCTCAGGACACGTCTTGCTGACAGATGCACAAAATAAATGGACATAAAGCCCAGATGCTAACAGACTCAGTAGAAAGCTCTGGCAGCTCGATGCTGAGTGTGGTTCCTGGCCGAGGAGCTTGGCGGTCCAGGTGCGTGCTGCCTTTATAACCACTGCTGCAAAGCAAATGCTGAATGCTGTTTTCACTTCCAGCCTTTTTATTTGGTAAAAGCAAAAGTTGCCTTCAGATTGCTTTCAATGAGCAAAAACAGGTACTAACTAATGTAGGTCTTTTCTTAAAGGTAAGTGTTGGAATGCAAACTTTCGACAAGTAGAAGATGCCTGGAGAGCACGAACTGGGTGGTCTAGGACAGAAATAAATGTATTCTCTCACAATTCTGGAAGCTACAAGTCTGAAATCAAGGTGTCTGCGGGCCACACTCCTCCCGAAACCTGTAGGGGGAGGATCCTTCCTTCCTCCTCACCTCTGGTACGCGGTGGCACAATTCCAACCCACCGCCGCCTTCATCTGGCCTTCCCCGTCTCTCTGCACTACCTCCATTCTGTCTGCACCTGTTTGTGTCCAGATGTCCCTTCTATGAGGAGGACTGGTGCCACGTCCAGTTCCAGCTCCAACCATGCTGTCTGACAAAGTCCGAGTGTGGGGAATATGGCCTCAAAGAAGCATATTCAGGCCTGGAGGACGTGGCATAAGTGGATATACAGTGTTGATTCTGTTTTTGCTGTCTCTTGGTGTTCTGACATTTACTTTTCTGATAATTTGGAATCTCCTAGAAATAATGGCCATTCTCAGAGCTGATCAACAACTAGGTCAGACTGAGAACTATGCCACCTTGGCCTTTCCCCAAATAATACCCTCTCTGGGGGCCCAGAGGAGGAAAGGCCCACAGTGTCCAGTGAGTCCAAGGGGAAGAATATTTCCTTCCCTGACCCAGTTAAGCAGATGCAGGACAAGTTAATACTAGGTAGCAGGGAGCCAGAATTACCCAGAGCGCTCCCCCAAGTTAATCCCCTCTAATGAAATAGCCCCTGAATGTCTAAAAGTTGTTGGAGTAACAGCCCCTCCTTTACCTTGAACAGAAATATATATTAATTAGAATTTAGCAGGCAAAGAAACAGGAGAAGCTTGTTAGATACTATAAACTAAGCACGTAGATACAATTACCAAGGAGTTAGAGTCCATAGTACATAGAGAAACATTTTGGACAGAAAGATAGATAGCTAAGTTAGACATCACAAAGGCCTTATAATCAATTTCCTAACCTCTGCTCGGTCTAGCGTACCTTTTTGCCCCATGCCAAATTCTAGACCTTTAATAAACAATAAGACATTCAAACTCTGTACATAGAGCTATTTCAAATCAGCTGATTAATGGTTCTCCTGGTCAAAACAATTTTTGTTTAATATAACTGAAACTATGGAAATTCTTGTACTTTTCCTGGTTACCTTTGTATTGATTTTTTCTGCTTAACTGATCATGCTATACACCTGCAAATGTTAATCACTACCTAAAATGAAAATATAAAAACCTGCTTGTGCTTGCAATAAACGGAACAGAGCTTCACTGTCCTTTGAGGCGTGTTGTCGTCTGTTACCCATTGCCGACGCCTACCCTC